ACAACTTGCTGGGGTCTTACATCCCCCATCAGATTCTTTCTCGTCATGTCTCCTCTCAGGCCTGGCAGCTTAGCTGAAGATAAAACTGAGGCAATTAATAGAGCCTTTGAGGACTTGTCACTGGAGAGCTCTTTAACTCAGACACCTGAGTTGGGGCCCCAAGCATGTGATCAGGATGGGGGAGGGTACCCAGACTGGGAAGCAGCTGCTTGAGTGGGGGCAGAAACATAGTGTAGAAACAAGGTCGGGGTCGGGAAGCTCAGACTATTAAGACATACAGATGATGTGGACACAGCCGCCGTCATTGCTTTTCATGGTTTGAGCTTTGTCTCTTACTACAATTTTGTTCTGGCTATCCTACCCTGCTGTGGAATACCAAACCAACCTGCTAACTACATGAACCATTACAGGAAAAAATACCCCCTGGGATATGGGGACATCAAAAGAGGACATCTTGTGACATGGTGGTATGTATTGGGTGTGGAGTGGGATGGGCAGGAACATGTCTCCTGAAATCCGCCCAACCCCCAACTTCTGTGAGGAAGGCTGGGAGCTGGCAGAGACAGGTCAGGTCTAGGCAAGAATCACAAAAGGAGAATAAGGGTTAGAAGGAAAGAAGGGCCTGGATCTCCAAGCCTGTATGCCTGGTGACTTCATGGTGTCTTGTGCCTGTGTCTGACTTCATGGAGTCTTGAACAACAACAATTACCTGGTCAGTCAGAGGCAGCACAGGCCCAGAAGCTGAGGTGAATCCTGACCACAGCTGTGTGTAATGTGTATGTGATGGGTGTGATGTGGGTGTTTGTGTGTGTGTGTGTGTGCTCTCAGGGCCTCCCTACTTGGCCTTCACTCTTAAGACTGGCAGTAAGGCCTCAATTATCTCTACAAAACTCTTCCAGGAGGCCACTAACTCTACCCTAGCTGTGGTCTGCGCCAGCTCCTCTGATGGCCACTAGAGGGCAGCAGCCAACACAGCCAGGTGATGGGAACTTTGACCATGGGATCTTGGTCTTATTCCACACAAACGTCGTTCTAGACCCCAGAGATGATCTGGCCTGTTGGGTTGAGCCATGGGACCACAGATCCAACTAAATGCCCATCCAGGCTTTGAGTGCAGTGAATTTTGAGGGAATGTGAGAAGACAAAATAGTGAAAACATTGGAGACCAAACCAGAGGTGACTAAAACTGGACTCCTCTGGTGTATTCATTAGTTCCTGCAAGGATAAAGAAGAAAGAGGAAAGGGTGAGCTCAGGAGTCCAGGCAGCACGCATAGAGATAAGGCAGGACCAAGCCAAAAGGCACGTGTTGTGTAGACAGGCAGAATCACCTGACCGCAAAGACTGGTGACTTGAGGATACAAAGGAAAATCACATGTTATCTGAAATCAGGCTTCCCACATTCAAATCTCCTCTAAGCACGAGGTGTGTGACTTTGAACCTTTCTGTGCCTCCATTTCTCATCTGTAAGATGGAGACAATAGTAGTAATGTCACTGGCTTTTAACTCACTCAGGATAGAAATCAAACATGGCTTTTACATGGAGAGGGTTAGAAAGAATCATTTGTTACATTGATTAGTTAAGTAAGATGGTTACCTCATAGGCAAGCATCCATCCTCACAGGCAGAATAGCAGACAAATCAAGAGGTGAATAGCATTTATACATTTAGGGGCTACAAATTAAGATATACATAAGCTATGGGGCAATTTCTTATTGTATCTGTCCAATTTAAACTTGATCAAAAATGTTTACACGTTTCAAAATGTGTCTAAAATTGTGTTAGGTCTCCCCTAACTACCGTCCTGGGCATATCTTTTAACACAGAAATTCATTTAAATGAGGATTACAGTTAGATAGGTCAAGGTGTTGTGATCAGACATATTTGCATCATGTTTGATGTTTTCTGTTGTTTATCTTGAACAAAGAAAGTAGTTGGGTAGGGTTTACCATTCAGCTTAAGCATAAAGCATGCAGGCCTTTCCTTTTGTCTCTGACTTGAACTTCAATCTTCTATTCCTGTTTCTGCCACTTATCTTATACATAGAGCATGCAGTGCCTTTCTTTTAATCATCACCAATTTTTTTTTTCTGGTACTGGGGATTGAATCCAGGGGTGGTGTACCACTGATATACATCCCCAGCCCTTTCAATTTTTTATTTTGAGATAGGTTCTAACCAAGTTGCCTAAGCTGGCCTCAAACTTGTGATTCTCTTACTTTAGCTTCTGGAGTTGCAGGGCTTATTGTCACTTGACTCTTATCACCAATTTTTAACCCTATGTGCCTGCCTCAGTACTATTTCCTATACTAGATCGGAATGGTGGCACAGAGCACTGTGACTGCTAGCACATCTTATCTTCTGTCCTTGATGTTAGTTAAAAGGTCAAGAAGTGTGATGTTGACATAGTTAGCTTTCCCCAGGCCCCCTCATGAGATTTTTTGGGAGTTGGTCCCCACATGCAGATATTACATGGTAACATATGAATGTAAGTAAAAATTAAAAGAATATGTGTAGTTACTAGGGCCCTGTCAAAGATTGAATTAACAATCTGGTTAGGACTTCTGAATCTACAAATCCTGTCATTGTTGAAATAAGTCCCTTGAATTGAGTGTGGGTCCCTCCTGCTCTCTTCTCTTTCTCTCCTTTAAGCAAGGCCTGGGCTTGCTGCTCCCCAGCCTGACTCCCTGCTAGGCATGGTCCCAAGGAGCCTTCTAATCTCTGCTCTGTCCTGTTGGGCTGGATGGAACAGATAGGAGCCAGTTGCTTTTACTTCTCACTGCTTGCTTCTCGTGGCTCTCAGGAAATTATGGCTCTCTCTTCCTGTCTCAGAGAAAATTTGGTTCCTTAGTTCTGATTCCTATGGCCAGTCTGCAATCTTAAAACTGTGGGACAATGAAAGTGTCCAGATCTAGAGTAACAGTGCTGGCTGGCTTAGTCTAGGGTAAATGTTCCCACCCTCTGGAACCTCAAGTTTCTGGAATGGGATGGAGGATGCTTTTCTATTTTTTCCTTTCTGGAGAGATATTTAAAGATCAATTAAGAATTTATCATGCCTCTATTCATTGATGCTTCTGTGATGCTTCTGTGTCTCAAATATAAACTGTCTAGAAGAAAAGATCTGAGAATGAAGCTATCCTGTTGGGCCAATCAGGAACGATCAAGTCACATGATCCAGGGTTAACCCTCTTCCTTCTCAAGTACCACACTGGTTTTTCTCACAAAGTGATTGGGTAACAACAGAAAATTTGAGACATCCTAGTAGATCTAGTATACTGTGGACATTTTTAATTTTTAAACTATGAATAGGTGATATATTTACATAGCTCAGTGTTTTAAGGATATAAAAAGACATACAGTGGGAATGCTTTCTTCCACTCTTGAACTCCACTCCTTCTCTTCATAGGAAAATGTATGTATTTTCATTATGGTAAACTATACATGATGCAAAACTTACAATTTAATGTTTTTTTTAAAAGTATACAGTTCAGTAACAGTAAGTGTGCATTTATTGTTCTGCAGCTATCACCACTATTCATCTCCAGAAAATTTTCCTCCCCAAATGGAAACTCTACCCACTAAACAATAAGTCCCTATTGGCCGCTGTCCCCAACCCCAGGAAACTGTCATTCTATTTTCTGTCTTTATAATTTTGTCTACTACAGGAATCTCACAGGAGTGAACCATACAATGCTTGGTGTATTTATTTAAAATAATATCTTCAAGGTTTGTTTCTCAAGTAATTGGCTTTTTTTCACTTAACATAATATCTTCAAGTTTCACATACATATGTTGTAGCATATGCCAGAATTTCACTTATTTTTTTTAAAGAGAGAGAGGGAAGGAGGGAGGGAGAGAAAGAAAGAGAGACAGAGAGAGAGAGAGAGTTTTTAATATTTACTTTTTGGTGGACACAACATCTTTATTTTATTTTTATGTGGTGCTGAGGATGGGACCCAGTGCCCCATGCATGCCAGGCGAGCATGTTACAGCTTGAGCCACATCCCCAGCCCAGAATTTCACTTATTTATAAGACTAAAGAATACTCAGTTGTATATACATGCCACCTTTTCTTTATCCTTTTATCTATCAGTGAATATTTGTGTTGTTTCCACTTTTTTGCCTATTATGACTAATGCCACTATGAACAGTGGTGTACAAAGTCTCTACTTTCTCAATTCTTTTGCTTATGTACCCCAAAGTGGAGTTGCTGGATCCTATGGTAATTTTGACTTTTTCATGCATCAAAATGTGATGCTAATAGGAAAAAGCATACCAGAATCCTTTTATACACACTTTATTTTGTACGCCTGTCTCCGCCACTAGATGGGGAACTTTTAAACAAGAACTTCCTTCTTCTTGTTCCTTCAGCAACTCTCCCAGAGGGTTGGTAAGCGCAGACCATGCAGTTAGCATCCTCCGTTCTCAGCATTGAGCAAGGTGCAAGCGACACAAAGGTACAGAAAGAATCGACCCCCAAAGAACTGAGCCTCTATATAAAGGTCGAGTTAGGTCTGAGGGTGACCAATTAAAAGCACTCCAACTCCTGATTGTGAGACTTCATAGATGTGTGACCTGGAGCAAGGTAACCCAAACTTCCATGCAGAAAATGATTCGCATCATTGGATCAATTTCCGTCACCAACATGGAGCCTGGCCTTTTGCACAGCGCCCGGCACTTGTAAGGCAATCAATAACTTCGTCCTTGTTACCTGCGATAGCGAGAGAAGGCCTAGTGGACAACTTGCACTCTGAGCTGCTGTAAGAGTGCCTCCTCTTCTCAGCTCCTGGGGACTGTCCCGCGGTTTGCGGCAGCTCAGCGTCCGCTGGGCGGCGGAGCTGGAAAAAGAAACAGCCGAGAGCAAGAGCGGCGCCGAGGCGGCAGCAGCGCTTGGTCCTCCGAGCCGGCGGGCGGCGCTAGTGCGGACCTGGCCGGGGGCGGCGCTCGGGCCGGGCTCCTCTCGGCGGCCGCGCACAGCCGTAGGCCGTCCGCGGGGCGGGGACGCGGCGGCAGTGGCGGTGGCTCCGTGTTGCCGGAGCCCAAACGCGCAGGCCCGTCCCGGCGGCCGCGGGGCGGGCGGGGTGGGGGCGCCATGTGGTTCATGTACATGCTGAGCTGGCTGTCGCTCTTCATCCAGGTGGCTTTCATCACATTGGCCGTCGGTGAGAGTGCGCGACCCTGGCCCTTGCGGGCTTCCGCCCCGGCATTGGACTTGCCAGGGGTCGCATCGCGGGGGGTCTGGAGCGAGTTGGGGGTCCCTGCTCAGCGCCCCCGACCTTCGTCGTTTCCCACCCCCAGCCCTCCATGTCCTGCCACTCTCGGCTAAGCCCAGCCGGTTGGCCTGACCGCGCGTCCTGCCAGGTGTCACAAAGTCCGCTTGGCAGTGCCAGATTGACTGAAGTGCCCTCCTAGCGCCTGCTTGCCGCTTAACCGCTCCCATCCTCGCGGGCCCAGCTTGCCCAACTTTCCCCAACACTTGCTGTTGCCTTGTTTCCTCTGCCCCTTTGTACTTGCTGCTCTCCGCCTTTGATGCTCTGTTCCCTTGTGTCCCCTTCCTACTCCATCTCAATTAAGATCTTACCTTCTCCTGAAAGCCCTCTGGGATTTGGTGATCCGGCAGTGCTCAGTCCCTGCCCTAAAGTAGCCTTCTTACATTGGGCTAGTCTGACTCTTCTCCCTACTTGTACCCACCTCCCTTCAACCTGGTCAGAAGGGTTCTTGTCTGTCTTGTTCTACTGTATTCTCAGCACTCAGCCTAGCACCTGGCCCATATTAAGTGCCCTGAAGAGATTTATTGAACGAGTGCATGAAATTATGTTCTCTGGACCAGAGGTTAGCATTGCGCTGGGGAGTCCCATGCCGGCTTCCATTCATTCTTACGAAATTTCTCCTTAGTTGCTCCAACAAGGTTCTGCTTCTCCAGACTTGTAAGGGCAAAATATGGATTGTTTGATTTGTTCCTTAGTTTCTGGAGTCTGTGAGGGTTGGTGGGGAACTGGCTGCTGAGAGGGATGACCAGGATGGCAGAAGTCACCCTGGCTGATGTTCTCCCTGCTTGTTCCTCTCCCCATTCCCCAGCGGCTGGACTCTACTACCTAGCAGAACTGATAGAAGAATACACAGTGGCTACCAGCAGAATCATAAAATACATGATCTGGGTAAGTGGCAGCTTTCCCCAATATTCCCCTTTGTTCTTCTCTAGCTCAAAAGCAGGAAGTAGGGACAATTTGGCTTGGATGATGAGAGCCCTGTCTGTGACCTGTCTTTTGGGTCTGCACTCCTGAACCCAGATTTGGGCTTACCACTTGGCCTCCTTCCCCAAGTGGCACTGCAGAGCTCGCTCTCTGTTCCTAAGGTGACAGCTGAGTGGACATCCTCTGTTGACAGGCCTGTGACTTTGCCTTTGCTTGGCTGTTTTTCACTGTTTCTGTCTCCTTGCTCTGTCTACAGCATTTAGAACTTACAGGAACCTTAAGGACAGTTTTGAATGCTTGTTCAATGCTGTCTTTCTAATGGGATTGAGTGATTTGTCCTAAGGGGAGCACCCACACACACACCACGAGTGCCTCATGGGAGGCTTCTCTTCCTGGATATGGTCTGTGCTATTGATGCCAAGGCCACAGGAGTGATTGCTTGCTGACAGATTTCCTCCAGCTGCAGGAGAGACTGGGGGTACATCTGGACAGGAAGAGTACATTGCCACTCAAGCCTCCTGGGGTCAGCAGCTGCTTCCATTCTGGACATGGCCTGGTGTTGGAAGTTAGTGGTGGAGACAAGACTGTAGCCCTTAGCTCTGGGCTCAGAGGCCCAGCATGTGGGTGTTGGTGCAGGAATTAGACCTTCCTTCAGCCAACTGTCACTTGTTAAGCACTGACAATTACACCTCCTTCAGAACATGTTTCTCAAATTGCGGGCACAATTCATTGAGCTATATGAGCTGTAAAATCAGTTCAGTAGGTTGGGATAAGCATTTAGAAAAAAAAAAAAAAAAGGAATAGGGGCTTGGAGTGTAACCCAGTGGTGGAGTGTCTGCATAGCATGCATGAGGCCCTGGGTTTGATCCCCAGCACCAAAAAAGGGAAAAAAAGAAAAGGAAAGACTAGTATTAAATTTGAGCTCTGATCATATATATGTATGTGTGTGTTGGGGTCACTGTAGTACATTTTTCTTACTTTGGGTAGTTGACAAAGAACTTCAAGGGTTGATGATGTAGCTCAGTGATAGAACATTTGCCTAATGTGTATGAGGCCCTGGGTTCAGTCCTCAGCATTATAAAAAGAAAAAAACGCAAAAAAAAATTTTTTTTGAGAAATGGCATTTAAAGAAGCTGCCCTTTGGGAGTTGAGAGTCTAGCTGGGGAAACCAGGCCTGTTACTATAAATGAGGAGATTAAAGTATGAACCTAGTGCTACCCATAGGCAACTGGGGTTAGAGAGTCTGGGCAGGCTATGTGGAAGGGCTTCCTGCATCGAGTGCTTCTTTTTTTTTTTTTTTTTTTCCAGTTCTCCACAGCTGTGCTGATTGGGCTCTATGTCTTTGAGCGCTTCCCCACCAGCATGATTGGCGTAGGCCTCTTCACCAACCTGGTCTACTTTGGCCTCCTCCAGACCTTCCCCTTCATCATGCTGACCTCACCTAACTTCATCCTGTCATGCGGTGAGAGAGGACAGATTTGGGGAGGCAGCTGACATGGTTGAATAAATATGCCCATCTCAGTCCTGAGTACTGAAGGGGATACAGAGAAGGAAGCAAGCCACAAAGTCCTCTAGGAGGCAAGGCTGGTTGGGCAGATGGACTTCTCAGTCTTGAGGCCCCTAGGCCCCATTGCTTGGAATTTTTTTGGGGGGAGGGCTTAGACTGGGAGGGCCTTTCCAAAGAGGTAAGTTTGAAGAAGGATTTGGGAAGGGAGAAGATGGTGTAGATTGGCAGAGGCAGGGCTCTCGACTGAGTAGTCCCAGCCTCAGAGAAACCACTTTGGCCTAAAAAGCCTGAGGCCCTATCTTGAGAGGTAGGCAGCTTCCCATCCAGTCCTTTGGCCTAAAGTCATGATTAAGACTAGAGCCTTGCCAGGCATAGAGGTGCACACCTGTAATCCCAGCAGTTGGGGAGGCTGAGGCAGGAAGATTATAAGTTCAAAGCCAGTCTCAGCAACTTAGCAAGGCCCTAAGCAACTTAGTGAGACCCTATCTCGAAATAAAAAATGAAATGGGCTGGGGATATGGCTCAGTGGTTAAGCACCCCTGGGTTAAAAATCCTTAGTACCAAAAAGAAAAAAAGACTGGAGCCTCAAAGGACTGTGAGCTCCTGCAGACAAGGGCCTGGTGCAGATGTCTCATGGGGACTGCCTTTTCAAGTCAGATTCTCAGTGGTTGCAGCTCCTTTGAAGTTGAGGGCCCCTGCCTTCTTGCCTTTGCCCTGCCATCACTTTCTAACTTTGTGTAGTCATGTCCCCTTCTCTGGGCCTTAGCTACTCGATCTGTTTGGAGGTGATACTTCTGACAGGACTTTTGGGAAGGAAATTCATTTGGCACGTAGTAGATGATTATAGAGGTTTACAGGTGTTCATGGAGAAGGTTTCAGAAAGTTTTTCATCACAAGGTTTGCTGTTTCATCTGCTAATCATTTTGGTCAGCCTACCCTTGGGTCAGGGTATAAGACAGAGACGGGGGTTGTTTTAGAGCTACTTTTCTATTTCTGTGGAAAACTTTGAAAGAGATTATTATCCACAGGTAGGGCTCAGTAGTAAACTAGGACTGATTTCTTCCCTGAGTGCCTTGGTGTGATTTCACTGTAAAATTTCTTCATCAGGGTTTTTTGTGGGAGTCCTGACTCCTCTGGCTTCCTTTATCATTCCCCCAGCCTTATAGCCTGCCATTTAGATGCCCAAGGTAGTTTAAAAAAAAAAAAAAAATTTTTTTTTAAAATTTATTTTTTGGTACCGGAGATTGAACCTAGGAGCCAAGTTGCTGAGGCTGGCTTTGAACTTACGATCCTCCTGCCTCAGCCTCCTGAGCCCCTGGGATTACAGGTATGCACCACTATGCCTGGCTAGATTTTTTTTTTTTTTGAATATTTATTTTTTAGTTGTAGTTGGACACAATTCCTTTATTTATTTATTTATATGTGGTTGCTGAGGATCGAACCCAGGGCTTCGCATGTGGTAGGAGAACACTCTACCGCTGAGCCACAACCCCAGCCCTAGATTTTTTGTTTTAATGGTACTGGGGTTTGGACCCAGGGGTATTCTACCACTGAGTTATATCCCCAGTCCTTTTTATTTTTGAGACAGGGTTTTACTATGTGCCCAGGTAGCCTTGAACTTTTGATCCTTCTGCCTGAGCCTTCTGAGATTCTGGGATTTTCTAAAAGATCTTGTGGGCACAGGGCATTGTCCTGTCTTCGGTTTCCTTTAGCCTTAGCATATGTCTAGGCAAGCAGAGCTGTGGTCATCATCTTAGAAGGGGTGAGGCAAGGGGGTAGAAAAGAGACATGGTAGTTGCTGTGAGGGGTGTGTGAGGAGGTTCAGATTCAGGGGACATGTTCTTTCTAATGCCTACCCTTCATCTCAACATGGGAACAGTTAGGGACTCCTATCTCTGAGTAACCTCTCTCCAGGATCTACTTGCTTGCTCTTTTTCATAAACTCAGTTGCACATTAAAGAGGTGTGTGTGGAACCAGAACATATCAGACTAGTTGCCTCCCTCTGGGGTAGGATGGGGAAGGACCTCCTCCCTAGTATTTTGAGGAACCATATAATTATACCTCAAAGTGTCTACAAACTATGGCCTTTTATTCCCAAGGAATGAGGGCCTCTTTACTTGAGTTGACTATTTCTATACTTCTCAGTTTGGATTAGAATTTCTTAAAGGTCTGGTCTGCATAATCATGTCTTCCTTCTACCTACTGCCTATAGGAGAGTTTTCTTTAGAACTCATATTCAATAAAAAACCAAGTTCGTGCTGAGTGTGTTGGCACACACCTATAATCACAGCTACTTGGGAGGCTAAAGAAGGATTACAAGTTCAAGGTAAGCACTGGGCAACTTAGCAAGATCCTGTCTCAAAATAAAATTTAAAAAAGCCTGAGGATATAGCTCAATGGTAGAGCACTTGCTTAGCATGCATGAGGCCCCAATACTGCAAGAAAACATCCACTAATAATAAAAAAAAAAAAAGTTTCATTGCAACCAGGCTTTGTGTTATGTAACACAGAATCCCCTTTTTATTAACATGCTAGAACTTTCTTACCTATTTTCTGACTTTACTTATGATGCCCTCTGCATTGAACAGGTTGGGGCTGATTCTCCCATCTTTTTTTGGCAGGGGGTAGGGGTGCTAGGGATTGAACTCAGAAGTACTTTACCACTGAGCTACATCCCTTGCATAGTTTTTGTTTTGACACAGGGTCTTGCTAATTTGCTGAGGGTTTTGCGGAGTTGCTGAGGCTGCCTTGAACTTGTGATTCTCCTGCCTCAGCCCCCTGCATCTCTGGGATTAAAGGTGTGGTCCAGCACACCTGGCTGATCCTCCCATCTTGACAGATGAGCAGCTGAGTTCTGGACAGGGATATACTGAGTCAAAGCCATACTCTGAGTTGAGTGCAAAATCAGGAGTGAGATACAGAGCCCCCAAATCTTAGGGCCTTTGGAAGCTTATGAATGCTGTTTTACATTATGCCTCCCAAGCTGACTGACTCTTCCTTCCCTTAACAGGACTAGTGGTGGTGAATCATTACCTAGCATTTCAGTTTTTTGCGGAAGAATATTATCCTTTCTCAGAGGTAAGAATTGCATAGCATATGCAGCTAGTAACAGGAATGGGGGAGAAAAGGGAGTAAAGCATGATTTGCTTTATAAATTTAGCTATGATCCAAAACTGAGTACATTGAGGGATCACTTGTTTTAAAAAACAAAACATGATATAGATGCTTTTTGAAAGCAGTGTGGCTGAGGAACTGAGGGATCCCTTTGGCTGAGGTGGGGAAGATACTGCATTCCCCAGTGAGTCCTTAGGGTACCCTGATGGGGTCATCTGAGGCCCTGAAGGGACACTGGGTTGGCCTTGTCTGACTCAGACCTCACAGGGCAGGGGTGGGCTGTAGCTCTGAGCCCCAGACCCCATCATGGCCTGCCAGGGTTTTCTTCCAGGATTGCTCCATACCTTACAGCTCCAGGTTGAAGCCCCAGGGAAGGACAAGGTCATTTCTTTGGGAATGTGGCCTTTCACTACTGAATCATCTCTAGGTCTGAGAATGTCCAGACCCTATTTCCTGGCCCCTAGCCCTTGCAGAGATTAGGGACAGTCCTTGTTTCCACCTAGCACCTCTCTAATACCCATGGTGGCCACACCTAGCCTGCTCTTGCTGCCTCCTGGACATCCTCTTTTCAGTCTTTCTTGTTGCCAGGTCCTGGCCTATTTCACTTTCTGCCTGTGGATAATCCCTTTTGCATTTTTTGTGTCACTCTCGGCTGGGGAGAACGTCCTGCCCTCCACCATGCAGCCAGGAGGTGAGAAGGGGTCTGAAAGGGCCAGGTGGGGGGATGCCAGAAAGGTCTGAGTTGGCTGGAGGCACCTGAGCCCAGCCCTATGATGAGACACTGGGGCTCTGGGTTGGGAGAGCTGTGTGTACACACATACACACTCTGATACTCATCTCCCTGCCTGTGTCTCCACAGATGACGTGGTCTCCAATTACTTCACCAAAGGCAAACGGGGCAAACGCTTAGGGATCCTGGTTGTCTTCTCCTTCATCAAAGAGGCCATTCTACCCAGTCGTCAGAAGATATACTGACCTTCCTGGGGAGGGGATGTGGAAGCAAGATCAGGAGAGTCAGGCACCTGGACCTTTGTTCTAGGTAGGGGCCAGGAGCCTGGAAGGCACCTTCTACCGGCCCTGGCTTCCCTCCCCTCAATTCTGAAACTCCATCCCACCCTCCTCAGGGTACTCAGCTTGGCTCGGATCTGATGCTGCTGGACTGTCTCCTTCACAAGGCACCAGGGAGGGTGGCAGAGCCTGCTTAGCCAGGAGGCCCTCCCTTCTCTCTCCTGAGGAGGGTTGGGAGGTTCTGGCTCAGGCAGGGCAGGGTCTGTGAAGCTGGAGAGCAGTTGGTGACAAGTTCTCTGGGCAGATGGCCATAGGGAGGGGCCATGTTTTGGTACCCAAGAGAAATGGTTTTTGCTGTTGAACTGTGATTTTTGTCCAATTGCTGATTCCCATTTGAATAAAGATTCTAGGTGGCACTGTTTGCCTTAATACCCCCAAAGTTCACCTTCCTTTCTCCCTGCTAATCTTCTGCCTGGACTAGACTAGTTGTCTGCTCTAGGGACTCTTCTGGGTCTGGGTCTTATCCTCACAAAGGAATTCTTCTTGTGGCCCTTAGTGGGAAGGGGGTGGAGATGAGGAATAGAACCTGGGCAGGGAGTTTGAGGCAGCCTTTCTTATGCACCTGTCTCATCTGGGTCTTTTCTCCCTGAGGCTCTGGCAAGCTGGGGATAGGAGATAGTTTAGAACTGGGTTAAATTTTCAGAATAACATCTACAGTATCCTATTTATAAGTCTTCCTCTGAGGAAAAGGAGTGGTTTCTGGTTGAATTCTATTCCAGGCTCAAAGAAAAAATAAAAACTGGCTTCCAGGCAGCCTGGGCTCTAGCCTGTTTTTTAAGAAATGGGGTTGGTGGGAGAGGCTGTTTGTCGCTCCAAGAGCACACATGTCTGGTACTCTTCTGTGTGCTGCTGGCCTCCAGGGAGATGATCTCTGCCTTCTAAGAAGGCAGGCCAGGTCTCAGGCACAGACCAGCATCTGTTGACCTTGCACTCCAACTACAGTGCCTTGCAAGTGCTCAACAGTACATATTGGAATGAAGTCCCCATGAGAGCCATCACTGGCCATGTCCTATACCTCACAGTGAGGCTGCAGGTGCAGAAATATACTGCACATGTGTTATCTTTAAACCACTGGGAGACCCTGTGCTTGGAAATCTTTCCTCTCTATATCATGCCTGAAGTCCCATCATAGCCCTTCATTTCCTTGACTTTAGCATTTCCATTCTCTTAAAATGCCAGCCTTCCCCTTTCCCTGGGAGGACTAGCACATTTTGGTCTTCTCTGGATGCAGGTGAGATTCCTAGGCCCTTTTTTGCTATGCAGACAAGGACAGACATGGTAGAGGGCACAAGGCCAGCATCTTCCTCATTGATGGGCTGAAAGCTGTTCCTACTCTCCCTTGCTGTCCACTTCTTTATTCCTTATCCTGATGATGTGGCTTCACTCCCTCTGTTTACTCTACTGCTGGTCAGCGCTCTCCCATGGGTGGCCAGGGATCTTCATGGGCTAAATCCAGCAGACACTTTATGCCTTATCTTGCTGGATCTTGACAGCAGCTGACATGGCTGATCACCACCTGCTTCTTAAATCACACTTCCCTGGCACCTCTGTGGCTGGTTATCCCTCTGCCTCTCTGGCTGCTTCTTTTAGTCTCCTATGTAGGCTTCTCTGCTTGCCCTGTGTATGCTGGGGTCTTTCAGGATTCTGTTGTGGGCTCCCTGGGGGAGCATATCCAGGTTGATGGCTTCAGAGATTCTGCCAAGGAACTAAGAGTTGACCTCCATCCCCAGCATACCTCCTGATCTGAATCATAGTTCTGCTGCCTTCTGGGTTCACAGACCCAGAAGGCACATAGCCCAGTTGGCACTTGTTGCTATCTCTGCAAAACTGCCCCTGTGGGGTACCTGTCTTGGTCTCAAGATCACTCAGGAGCCAGACAGGAAACTTGCTTTCTCTTTCTGCCCTTCATGTCCAATCTCTAAAAATTGTCAAGTTTGTCTTCTTAACATCTCTTGATTTGAGCCACTCCCACTGTTAGCTTTTACCTTCTGACAGCCTCTGACCTTTTCTCTATCCCATGGCTAGCCAGAGTTTTCTTTCTAAAATGCACAGTTGGATCAAGTCACTCCCTGACCTACAGCCTTCCATGGCTCCTCACTGCCCTCAGGATAAAGTCCAGACCCCTTAGCATGGCTTGTGAGACTCCTGGTATTCTGATCCCTGCTTCCCTCTCTGGCCTTGTCACTGGCCTTCTTGCACTCTGGGTTCCCGCCTCCTGTATGCAAAGATGCCATGGCTCTCGTGCCACTTTGATTCTCCTTTCCTCCATTCACTTTGGTACTTTGTCAAGTCTCAATTAAGATTTTATTTCCACCAAGGAGCTTTGAATGTCCTATCTTCCACCAGCCCCACCCCAGCACACCACACAGATCACTCTGGGCTTATTTGCCTGCTTTATGGTCTGTCTCCCCACTAGACTGTAAGCTCCTTGTGGGCAGGAACTGTCCTTGAATTTTTGTATCAACAGTGCCTGGTTTGGCACCTGGCACATAGAAAACACTCAATAAATGTTTGTTTAATGAATAAATTGTGATGTGCGCACGGGGGTTTTTCAGGGGACTTGGGATGGCTTCCTGGAGGAAGTACAGGTGTTTTCATAGTCTCACATCAAAGCCATAAATCTCACTGAACTCCAGAAACCTCTGGCAGTAGGAGTAAGGTATGGCAGCTCATGTGGTAGGAAGCCTATGACCAGGGTGTGACATATTAGCTGTCCTCCACCCAGGCTGGATCTGCAGTGAGGAGTGAGGCTCAGCTCCTACAGCAGGCAGTAATTCTGACTACAGAATTTCCCTGCAGTCCCTGTTTTGGAAGCCTAATCCCAAAGGGCTGGGGTAGGGAAGCAGAGTGTCACTTTTACATTGCTAGGGCCTAACATAGTGACTGATCCCCCACTCTGAACCTTAGAGCTCTGCTCTTTTGGATTCCTGGGGGATCCAAAAGATTTCCTCACAGAAAGAAGGGAGGCCTGGAGTCTGAGCTAATGAGCTGGAGAGTGGGAAATTCATAGACACTCCTTCCCCATCCTCCCCACCCACAATGTGAATCACCACACCGCAGCCTTCACTGGTTTTTTCTCAGGTAGAGAGGCCACCAGAATAACTTTATGGAGGGCCTTGGGGGGAAGGCAGGTCAGGGGACCCCTGATGAGCTCCCATGGCTGCCAGGAAGGCTTCATCAAATATCTCACGCAGGTTCATGACCAGAGCATTGGCCTGGAAGGTGTCTTCACTGAAGTGCTGCTTCTTGGGCACATCCAGTATGTTGATGGGATAAAGGCCCTGGGGCACCTTCATCCTGTGTGGCTGTGCTCTTGGGTACAGAACTCGGACTATCACCTCATAAGGCAACTTGGGCACGGGCGCCACCCAGTGGCCGTCCACTGTTTGCAGCCATGCTCCACCAGTAGGGTCTGGAGTCACTTCCAGAAAGTCCTGGAAGTCGTGCTCCAAGCACGGGTCTGGGTGCACGCCCAGGCGGATTCCCTGCGGGCTTCCAATCTCGGTGGTAGGTGGTCTGGAAGGGTTAGTGCTAATATTCCACGTGCTGGGCTGTTTGATATTAGGCTTCTGGTAGCTGGGCTTGGCAGGCACCACCCGCTGTGATATAATTTGCAGATATTCCTCCAAGGAAGGATGGAAGCTCATAGAAATCTGGGATTTTTGAGTCTTGGAGAGGGCAGTACTCAAAGGTGGGACATCATCCTCCTCTTCCCTGGTTTTGTGGACCAGGCTATGGCATTGGTACGGCAGCTTGGAATGGAGCCACTTCCTGAAATCAGCTTCTCTCAGAAGTTGGCGTTCTTTCTGCAACAATAGGAAAACAGTGGTGGTGGCCTGCTCTAGTACTTAGGTGGAAGGAGGCCCTGGGATTACAGGCCTTGGAAACCTCAGATCTACTATCCTCGCACAGGGAAACCCTGAGTTTGAGAGAAACTCCAGCCTGTGAGAGCCGTTATTCTGATGAAGGAGACAACTTTGGCCCCAGAGCTTCTGGGCTGATTTGGAGACTTCTGACTTGATGGGGGGAGATATACTCTGACCTGGTAAGCCTCTAACTTAAGGAGGGGGACACAGTTCCTGTCCTAGGAAAAGCCTCAAGCCTTACGGGGATAATAGCTCCCTTCCCAGAGAAGAATCCTCAGAATGATAGTGGATATCTGTCTTTCCACATGAGAGTCTCTGGTTTGATAGGGAAAAGGCAAACAAGAAGTCCAAACTACAGCACTGAACCTGGAATAGGGCAGAGCTAACCTGGACAGGGCTCTCAGAGAGGTAGGCTTTGAGTAGCCATGTAGGGGAGGTTACAGTTGGCTGTCTCCCAGGCTGGGCAGCAATGATTTGTCAAACTGTCCTTCCCTCCATTGGAACTGAACCTTCCACCTGTCCTAGAAACTCCCTACCCTGTAGTCTCAATGTCTCACTCCCAGACTGTTGCTAAGCAATCAGATACTTCAGAGATTGACCCAGCTGCAAGGGGTAGGCTCTGATTAGGCTAAGCCAATCATAATCCCCTCAGCCTTGCCCCAGACCTCAGTCAATCAGCATATGGCTTTCCTTTAGTTCTAGTCATTGGAACAAGAATGGACACATGATCCAATTGAGGCCAACAAGAGATTCCCTTGGTGGAGATCTAGAAGGGAGTCTGGGGAGGGTTAGGGCCACAGGAAACAGAAGGGCTTTGCCTCCCTATGGACATGTATGTGACTGTGAGAGTTGGGTGACACAACAGAGGGATGCAGAACAGTGGAGAGAAGTGCAGCTAGATCATAGCTGCAGTCCCAGTAGGGCCTTGCAGCCCTCCCACTTAAGGATCTACCTAAGATTCCTAGCATCTCTGTAGGTTCTTCATTTTTGTTGTGTTGTTTGTTTGTTTGCAGTCTATTTAATTATTCCTGCTTGAAATCCTCCTTTCTTCCCTAGCCAAAGTCTTTCATTGCTCTGGACCTCTACCAGAGCAGTTTCTAACTCTAGTTTATCTAGCTTGTCATTTCTAACTCACATCTGATCTCCAAACTTGCCATTCTCTGCATATATTATGTTCCCATGTGTCCCTATGCCTTCCTACATGGCTATTCCTTCTGCCTGGTCAGCCCTTCCCTACTTCTTCATATGGCCAACTGCTGCCCACCTTCAAATATCCCTCTTAAGTATCCCTTCCAGGACCCTCCTGACACCCACCACCCCCATGGGAACATTACCTGCCTCTACACTAGAGTGGGTACCACACCTGTTGGTCTTTGGGGCCACAGGGTCTGGCAGGTGCCTAGCGTGGTGGTCTATTGGGAGGAAAGATGAATCATCTCTTTAACAGTGTGTGAGTCCCAGTGCTGGGCAGGTCCTGGTCTCATTGATGAGAATCTCATCCTGAGTGGGGCTTTTGAATACTTGCTCTTTTCAGCTATATTTACTTTCTGACACAGGAAAAAAACTTGACTGAAAGTGTGGCTTATATGGGAGAGGTTTCACCAGAGTATGGGGAAGGGGGGGCTCTTTCTGGTGGAAGTGCTCCCCCTGCCCCTGGTACTGAGGATTGAACCCAGGGGTGCTGTACCACTGAGCTACATCCAAAACCCTTTTTCTGTTTTGTTTTGAGACAGGATCTTGCTAAGTTGCCTCAGCCTGCTGAGTGGTGGGCTGGTTGGAAGTGTTTCTAATGCTCTTTTCACCATAATACATGAGTTCCTGCTCTCTGCTCACAAACTTGCAGAGCAGCCAGTGCCTGGCCCTGCCCAGCCTCCCCCTTACTTGATACTCAGCCAGGTAGTTGTGTTCCATGACGATCAGCTGATCCTTGAGGTGCTTCAGTTTCCCCATCTCACGGGCAAAATCCTTCTTGTCCCGTTTCCACATGGCATCCTTTAAGAACCTGATGCCAAGATGGGCTGTGTCATCCCACAGAGACTTCGTTTCCATCAGGGCTGGGGAGACTGGTAGCTACTGAGGACTTGGAGGGGGTGGGAGGAGCTGTCAGAGCAGGGGTGAGCAAAATGACTCTTGCTTTTGTCCAGGGGTCCTTTGCAGGGAAAAGAGGAAAGTGTCTGGTGGTCTGGTCACCACCCCCTGCTGAGGAGCCAGGGGCACCAGGGTAAGGAAGGATGGCAATGTTTAACCCAAAAAGATGAGGCCTGGCAAAAACCTCAATAATATCCTGGGTGGGGGTCCTCCTTAGTAGGCTTATCCCCTTACCATCTGGTTTCCCAGACCTTCCTCTCAAAGGCTCAGCCTTGGGTGAGGGCTCTGGGGGAGGATCAAGAGAGGGTTTGGGAGAAAGGGGTGGGTTGCAGGCTGGGGATGATTCTCACACCCTCACCGGGCACAGGCACGACGGTTCCATATTTTGCAGTAGTCAATGGGCTTGCAACCGGCGGCATCTTTGGCATGGACATTGGCACCATTCTGTACCAGGTACTTCACACAGCTCAGCATTCCTTCACGGGATGCCAGGTGCAGGGGTGTGGAGCCACTTTTTGTCTGGCTGTAGAAGGCCCCATCGGAAGGGAAGAGGGTAGAAAGGAAAGGCAAGGGTGTTTGCTCATCAGGTGGGCAGACCAATTTCCAAGCCCTGCTCTGCTGCCAGCACACTGGGTGACCCTGGCTGTGTCCCTTTCCCTCTCTTGTTAATTTAATGTCTGCTCCTGGACTAGCATGTGATCCTCCCAAATATCAGTTGAAGACACTGGCAGTGGTTCCCAGACTTAGCTGCAAATCAGAAACATCTGGGAATCTTTCAAAACTTGCAAAGCCCAGGCCACAATACAGACCCATTAAAGCAAAACCTTTGAACTGGCTATGGTGGTGCATGTCTGTAATCCCAGCAGCTCTGGAGGCTGAGACTGAAAGACTGCAAGTTTGAGACCAGCCTCAGGAACTGAGTTTTGCCTCAAAAAAAAAAAAAAAAAAATCAAAAGGGCTGGGGATGTAGCTTAGTGGTAGAGCAGCCCTGAGTTTAATCCCATCCCATCCCCCCCTCCAAAAAAAGTCACACCCTTTGAAAGCCTCCTGGGTGATTCCAATATAAATATGAGTTTGGAAACTCGAGCACTGAGACTTAGAAGTTTAGTGGCCACCTAAATTGACTGCTTTAGGTGGGTCCCAATCCCTGCCCTCCAGCAGCCCCACCTGCAAGGATCTGCCTGCCTAGAAGTGGAATTCCTATCTGCCCAGAAGAAGCCTCCTTCTGAAACAGGCTGGACTCACCTATTAATGGCTGCTCCTTTCTGGAGCAGGTAGTAAATGCAGGGGAGTGCCACAGTCTTGTTGTCCTTGTTAATGACCAGATGCAGAGGGGTCTGACCATTTCGGGTGGTCAAGTTTACTGGAAATTGGTACTCCTCTACCAAGACGTGGAGGCACTGAAGTTTGCCCTCCTCGGCTGCGCAGTGGATGGCAGTGAAGCCCTGTGGGGTCCAGAGTACAGTAAGAGAAAGCTGATGGAGATTGGGACTCCTGGGTCCACAACCTACCCTATGTAGCAATTTTTGGAGTTACTCGTCTCTTCTTCCCTGTTCCCTAGGGGTGGTTCACAGCCCTTTCCCACTCCCAGTGCATCAGCTCATACTTTCCCCTCCCTGCCCCACAATGGCCTCCCACTAAAGGTGAATAGGACCAGCCACAGAGAAAAGGCCATCTCTGGATGCCCAGGTGATTACTACGTGAGGAGCTCTTTGCATAGTAGGAGGTGGGAAGAGGGGACCTCAGTCCCTGTTCCCACACTCCAAGGCCTTACCTTGTTGTCGGCTGAGATTTCCCCGCGATTCCGGTTCAGACAGAACCGCAGCCATTCCACATCGCCCACAGCGGCCGCAAACAGCTCAAAGTAGCACTTACTGGCCCTGTAGTCCCCCAACTCCAAGATGCTAGGGTCGCGTGGGGTGGGGGTGAGTGGGACTGGGCTGCACGGACCGCGAAGGACGTCCATGTGGCGAGGGCAGTTACTAGCCCGGGCACCTCCCAGGGGTCGAGCCTTGGCCCTAGCCCTGCTCCCAGAGTGTCCCCGACAGCTTCAGCCCCCGCCCTCTATGACAATGCCTCGTCTGGGAGGCGTTGTTCCCAGTGCTCGCCTTCTCTCTGGGCCCACCTGGACCCCTTGGAGTCACTGTTCATGAACCTCAGGAAGGATTTTGGTGGCTGCTGTAGAGAATCCGTTGGAGTTGTCCATAGGCTCGGTCTTCTGCATTCTTCCGCTTCCAGGTCCCGGGGCTCCAACCACCGTGCAGAGCCCACAGAGGAGCTCCTGTCAATCGAAGCTATAGAGAATCTGAAGCTCTGGCCTAAGGCCTCGCAACTGGTGTGGCAGTGCGTGGACCCTCCCACGCTCCACCCGGTAGCTACTCCGCTGTTGGCAGCCGCTTCCAGGGAGTCAGTAAGCCATCCCGCCAGCTTCAAATGTCTATAGCCTTGTTCCATGGGGGGACAGAATCCAGGCACCTGGGAGGACACCTGCCTGCCACCCACTGCCATCCTACTACAGTGCTCAGAGACAATACACCCCCACCCTAGCTGCCAGGGGTCCACAGCCCTGGAAACTCAACATCTAACCCAGCAAACACCACACTTAGCTTTCGTTCTGATTACAAAAGTTGAAACAGAAGCACAGTGTGGAAATGAAAAATCATCTCGCAGAAACCAGCTGCAGAAATCACATTCTATTGAGATCTATCCACACGTCATGCGTACGTTTTTGTATCTCTTCATTTGTTGTTCCAGTTACTTCCCATTGTCATTCCACGTAATAAAGGTACATTATGACGCACCCACAGTCTAGCATCATAATGGATGTGCTGCCATGTCACATATGCTACAGGCTCAATTCTGGTTCTTAAGATGGATTTCTGCAAGTAGAATTACTAGATGAAAAGGAATGAGTATTTTTTAAGCTGTCAATATGGGATTTCCAAACTGCCCTCCAGAAAGGTTTTATATTCACTTCCCTTCCACCTGCAGTGGGGACCAGTTACTTGATCTCTGTGTCTTAGTTTCTGCCTCAGCAAAATGGGGATCACAGTGTCTACTTCACAGGTAGTCAAGGCATGCAAGCAGCCTAAGAGTGCCAGCAGAGAAGCACTATCCACACATTTACCGTTATTATAGTTGTTAGGAACTAGGGATTGAACCCAGGGTGTTTTACAACTGAGCTATATCCCTAGCCATTTTTATTTTTCATTTTGAGAAAGGATCTCACTAAATTGCTGAGGCTGGTCTTGAATTTGCAGTCCTCCTCCTTCAGTCTCCCAAGTAGGTGTGATTACAGGCAAGTGCCACCTTGTCAGGCTTAATTTTTTTTTTTTTTTTTTAGAGGGGGGGGGGGGGGGGGGGGGGGGGAGAGAGAGAGAGAGAGAGAGAGAGAGAGAGAGAGAGAGAGAGAGAATGAATGAGAATGAGAATTTTTTAATATTTATTTTTCAGTTTTCAGTGGACACAACATCTTTATTTTGTGTGGTGCTGAGGATCGAACCCAGTGCCCCACGCATGCCAGGCGAGCATATTACTGCTTGGCATCCCCAGCCCTGCTTAATATGATTTTTATTGATCTGTAAAACTTATTAGCATAGTAACCCTTGATATTCTTTGCCAATATTTTCCCATTTGCCTTTTTACATACATATAGTAATCAAATACTAGCTGTTGCTTGAATCATTTTCTCTTACTGAACCATGCATGTTCTCCACCTCTTCTTACTTAAGAGGATAGACCCCAGAGGAGTCCTGAGGGTCCAGGACTAACTCTGGGCATGCTAACTTCATTTCCCTCTTAGCACCTTCTCCCCCTCTGCACCCCAGCATCCCAGATATTTTCTTTGGGAAAATTAAAGGAGGAATGAGGGTCTTCTATGACCATAAGGACCTGCAGGGAAGGATGAAAATTTTCCACTCACAAGCACCTTTTCCCTTTTCCAGGGAAACCTCCTCTGAGAACCCACTTGCCCTATTACCCCAGTAATCAGAAGGAGTCAGGACCCTTGCCAAGCACCTTCCAAAGTAGCAAAGCCTGCGGTTGGGGGTTAGCTCAGTGGTGCAGCACTTCCTAGTATGTATAAAGCTACCCAGACCATGGCGAGGACAGACAACACAAAATGCCCAGAGAAAGATTTGATTTCCACTTGGAAGGGAGAGGTAAGGGTATGGCTCCAGAGCAATTCTACAGTCCTAGACGAAGGAGATGGAAGGCTGGGGGAGGAAGCACACTTCAGAGAAGTGGGGGCAGAGCCCAGAGAGTGCTGTCACCATATCCCAGGTCCAAGGTTAAAGGCCTACTCCTCCATGCCCTGTCCCCACCAGCCCTCTGAGCCACCCACAATCCTCTTGAAGCTTAAACTAGTTTGGATTGAGTTTCTGTCACATTCAACTGAAGCCTGATTAGTACAAAGCTCTTTGAGATTAAATTCTCCATTTAGTAAAATAATTGGAACCAGTGGGATGGCCCCTAAAGGGAGCTATATGGAATAAAGCACTGTGAAGCCCCAGGGGGCATTGGAACTTGTCTCTGCACTGTTTGGGGCTGTAGGTAAGTGAAACTAAGATTTATGCTTGGAATGGATCTTGAAGCTGATTCTAACTTTCATCATGTGACTCAGCAGTGTACTGGCCCCAAGATGGTAACAGGATTTCAGGCTTGGCTGCCAGCATGTGGGAATCTTCTATTGGTGGGTCTGGGTTCTGCCTGTGAAGGTAGTGGGACAGGGATTAGGACAGGGAATAGGACCCTGAATATCAAGTTGTAATTGCAGAATACAGAGAGGAAATAATATTGTCTTGTTGGAATGGACACACCCATTCCGGGGAGGAAGGAAATTTGAAAGACAGGTGTTAACAGATGAGAAAGGCAATGTTTGCCTCTTGGTTCAAGATTTGGAAAAAGAAAAGTATCTGGATTGTTCACAAATCAGTGGGGGTGGGCAAGTCTTTAGGTATCTAGAAACATTAGAGAAAGCAAGTTGTATTCCCCTTTCAGTTTTCTTGGTACTGGGGATTGAACCCAGGGACACTTTATCACTGAGCTACATCTTTTTTTTTTTTTTTTGGGGGGACAGAGTCTCACCAAGTTGCTCAGGCTTGCAGTCCTCCTGTCCTAACCTCCTAAGATGCTGGAATTACAGGTGTGCTCCACTGCACCTGGCTACAAGTTGTACTCCTTAAAACACATTTCCCAGTTGTGTGCCTGCTTTCCTGTCTGTTCTCCCCCGTACTCTCAAAGAATCTGAATAGATCCTATTCTTCAGCTTCAGAACAATTCCAAAGGAGCAGCAAAACTGGGCTAGAGTCTTATTCCCTCCACTGGGTGTCTCACGGGGTAGCAATTACCAGAAGCTCCCACATCCAAGAAGTTATTTATTCAGACTATTATTATCTGATAGCATCCTGATCCAAAGGATCCTAGAAGGGACCCAGAATATAATTCTGATGTCTCCTGGATTTTTGAGATTTAGAATTAAGTTTGTCTTAAATCTTTGCCCAACCTCCACTTCTGAAATGGTAGTATGAGGAGATTCATAGGCCCAGTCCTCAAGAAATAACCATAACTGGTGGAAATTATTTTTAAGAACTATTTAAAGTCTCTGGGCATTGTCCCAAGGCATACACAAAATAAAGAAACATTCAAGAAAATCTCCTAAGTCTCATAAGAATGGTATGAATCTGTGGCATTTGAGACTTTTCCATTTCAGAGCAATGACCAAAGCTTCAATATGGGTGAATATGGCCAATAAAATGAGGGTTCTCTCCTCCTCATTCCTAGAAGCAAGACACCAGCATGCCCCTCCCTCCCCTTCCCAGCTCCAATTGGTACAGGCTCTGCCAAGCGACCAGCAGACCAGCACTGGCTTCATTAAAGAAGGTTCGATTCATGAGTAAAACGCTAGGGAATTTTAAATTAAAGAGACAAAGACTCTAATTACCTTTAAACCCAGCTCCAGGACGGCTTCTCCTAGCTCTAGCCTCCAGCCACCTAATGCAGGAAGTTATTTATTCAGACTATTATTATCTGATAGCATGCTGAAGAGGCTAGAGAGAGTGATAGAACACGCCAGGGAGTGGACTTTTATTGGGGAACAAATTAGAACACGCCAGGGAGTGGACTTTTATTGGGGAACAAAAAATTCCAGGGAAAATCCCATCCAATGAAGGTTAAGGGGGGCAGCATCCCAAGGTCAGGGGCGATGATTGGATCTTCAGGGCAGTGGCCAGACATGCCTCTGCATGGACAAGCCTTGGACTTGGAGAAGGGTGGAGAAAGCTCTAACACAGCTGTGTCTAAGCGCCTCTCACCCAGCCAGGGAAGTAACTCAAGTCACGTTCGAGGATGGCCTCCCACAACAGGCTAAATTAATCATGAGTGCAGCTGAAAGATTGGAGGGATCTCTTCACTTCATCCCTGCTAACAGGGCAGATGCTCCACCCACAGGATCTGAGAATATTGGGGCCCTGATCACCTTTGGCTCAACTTGCTCATAGCTATATCATATTCTATATCAAGAGAGAGGACCAGATGTGACTGCCCCTGTCCAGAACCCTGCTCAAAAATCAGGATGATATGAGACAATCAGGCTACTGTCCTTGCCCTCAGATCCACAGGAGGATCTCAGAAATTATGCCCAGAGAATCCAGAGGAACTGAGAGCTCCAAAGATCTCCACCAAAAGAAATGGCTTTATTTGTAACGGTGTGGAAGTGGAAGTTTAAGTCTAATGGTTCTCTAAAAACAATGGAGATTTTGTTGGTAAGCAATTAAAAACAATCCAAACTCTGGGACAGCTAATTTACCAGAAAGAAGCAGGGACAGAGTTCAGAAGAGCACACCTAGAGCCAGAACAAACTTCAAAGACAAATATGACCTCTGCAAAGAGATCCATCCATGGAGAAGTTTATTCCCAAGGGCATCATAGAAAATAAAAAATAAAGTGATAAGCTGGTGATGCACAGAGGCTAAAAGCTAGGTATTACACCAACAAAGGCAGGCTGTTTAGTAGATGAGGGAAAGCGACAGTGAAAGAGGATCCTGCTTAAACCACTGCTATTTCAAAATGATGGCATGCAAGCCCAAAGCTTCCCTGGAGCGGTCATTT